ACATTTATTGGAATGATTTGAGTATTTCGAATCATTAACTTTATAAGTCATGCAACATCCTTCCCTTATCCTGAGCCTCTAAGAGGGGGTGAGGTCAACCTAGTATGTTTTTAGTTGGACTTGAATTTTCTGGTCTGTGTGATGGAAAACAGATCAAGTAAAAACATCCCTATACCCAATCCACTCCAGAATTCAATTTTAGTTCGATTATTACGGTAAAAATATTATGTAAAAAAATTCCCAAAAAATCTTAATTTGTATCGACACACCCCAATATACGCCATGCCTAGGCAATTGCTAACAACACAATTGTTGCGGAACCCGACAGTGTTGCCTTGAATCAAATCTCTGAATTGACAAACCCATTGCACTGGAGATAGGAAGGTAGCTGTTAAATCGCTCCAAAATACTCCTGGATAATAGTGGGTAGCAGTTGAACTCAACAGCAACGTCAAGCTCAAGTACTTCATGGAGCCTCCATGATTCCCAGACGGGGGCGATCTTAAGAGAGTCTGACTTTACGACTTATTATTTGGCTACACACCTTCTTTGGTTCTATTTTTCTCTTGTCCCGCTAGGATTGTGTCACATTTTCTCTTTGTAACAGACAATTCTCTTTACAAAAAACAAAAGAATTGTCTGTGCATACAAAAAGTTGGACGTATAACCTGGGCGTGTTTGGCATATAGGGATTAACAGATAGCAAGTCTCTTTGTAGATGCCAGGTTATACGTCCAACTTTTTGTATCAATAGACAATTTTTTTCATTTTTGTAAAGATGATTGTCTGTTATCTCAAAAAGTGAATTGTTTATGCCAAAGACAATAGATTTTTTCGAGATCACGAACAATTCTATTTACAAAAACGAAAAAACATTGTTTATGTACCGATAACAGACGTGTAGCCCGACATGTGCACGAAGAATGAATGCTAATACGGAATATTGAGCATATACTTCGTATTACTTATACCTTCATCCCAAATTGATTAGCAAAATTGATTTTTTTGTCAAACAATTTCATTTTATTCACTTAATTAGGATGTCAATTTCTAATTATATTCTATTTGAAGTTTGTAATTTGAAAAATTTTAATGTAGTTTATGAATATGTAAATTTTAATTATTAAAAATTGAATTAAATATAAATATGAAGGATTAAACTTTAAATTGATTGATCAAAAAATTTTGACTTTACAAATAAATTTGGGAAAAACTCGGTATAAGGTGGGACCGTGGGGAAACTGAAAACTGTATCCGTGATTGTAGCACATATGCGTTCCTGTGCCTCCAACCCCGCAGCATCTCAACATGGGAATTTTTTGACATAACCATGTTCCAAATTCCAATATGACAAAAACATCAACTCGTTTAACTTTTATCCTTGCCAAGCCTAATGGGGTGTAGAGTTGAATATTAATTATGTTCTAATGGACTTTCTCAACTTCGTGTTAGTGTATGAAATGAAGTAAAAAAAAAGTAAAGAATGTATGATAAGATTTGTGAAAAGAATAGAGAATACATGTTTTATAATTTATATTCCTTAAATAGGTAACTATTACATTTCTCAACGAGACGTCGAGACATTTAGTGATGGTGGCAGTATATATTCTCTAATCACAAATAATAATTCATATTTAGAAAATTTTATGCATTGACTCATATTTTTCGAATTGAATGCGCATGTTTTACTCCTATTAGTAACATTCTCCCATTTAATTATATATATACAACTGCCAAATATATTACTGTATTTTTTAGCTCACCATTTAGTCTAAACCTGAGCACTACTGTATCTCTATAAAAACACCACATTTGCAGATGTAATCCCATGAGATCTCTCAAGTTCCCTCCAATCTAACCTAGTTGCTAAAAAACATCAAGTCTCATGACTTGCTTAAAGAAAATTTTCCACATAGACAAGACTTCCTTCATTTACTTTCCTATTGTTCTTTAAGTACTCACACATCCAAGTAATAATGAAAAGAGGAGTGATCCAACTAGATGTATCATTATGGAAAGTCTCGACTTCGAGTCACCTTGAATTAAAGGTGAAACGTGCATATTTTTCGCAACTCGTGATCTTCTCCTTGAGCATATCATTTAAGCAATGCTCAAATGATATGAAGGTTAGAGGGATTTGAAGGTTTATTTACCAAACTAATACTTATCTATGCACACAAAGCTGCAATGAAATCACCTATCTCTATTGCCTGTACTTAAAAGAAACTTAAAAAACGTACACTTCCATCTTACTCTACGATTGTCAAACTTTTGCACATTTCCGCTATACCCTTGTTCCCCTTGCCCATATCGAATAAGCTAGACAAAGTATATAAGATGTATGCCAGGCAACAACATATATTTACAAGTCACAACCCAATTAAGATTTAGTTCCACACATTTGAGAAAAGTAAATCTTTTTCGGCAAATTAAAACTGTAAATTGATAACCATCAATTATAGATTTTAGCTTATAACAAATATTTTCTTTTGTTGAAAAATAATTAAGAATAAGTGGTGTTTACTAAAATGGTTGAGGGTATTGTTCAAAAATTTGGAAAATAAATAAAGAGACAAAATAATATTTTTTTTAAAGTCGTGAACAAAAAAATAATGTTTAAACGTCAAAATGACTCCCTAGACCACTTGTAGTCGGCATTAGGAGTTTAAAATGTTTAAATTGTTACATTACGGACCAAATAAGGGGATAAAAGTAGAAATGGGGGTGGAGGGGGTTAAAATAGAGGGAAATTAAAGACGTGTTGAAGGAAATCTTATTTAGTGCATGTGCCATCGTTTATATATAATTTATATTTGAGTCATTCTATATAAACTATATATTATGGGCTAGTTGGGCCCTTCCTTACAACTTACAAACCATAAACTCTCCCTATTTATAGCACATTTGATAATAAAATTATAAACATTATTCTCTCTATAACTCGTTATCAACACGATTATTCCTATTTGGTATGAGTAAAGGGTCAGTTTGGTACTCGAAGTTACATAAAAGGGGTCAAATAAGTCCTTATATAGGAGGCTCTGTCTGGCCGTCGCCATTTGGGGCGGTTCCCGGTAGAATTTTTTGACGAATTTTTTTGATCATCTTATTCATTAAGTCTAGTTTACTCATACCAAATTTAAGCTAGAACTTCAATCGGGAAGGCATTCAAATGAATTCTTGAAGATAACTGCGCAGTTATTAAAAGTTCTATAGAATCTCATTTTAAAGATGTGAATGAAGCATCTATTGTGTTTTTATTATCTCAAATCAAGTGATTCTAAGTAACATATTACAACTACATTGAATTGTTCACTTTTGGATTAAATTAATCTAGAAAGAAGTGACACATCCTCTATATAGCTAGGTTATCACTGGATTGAGTGGGATATAGAATAAGTGATCATACCGTGAACATTTATAAAGCAAAATGTTTTGAATTCCCAAGTATCATTTTATGTAGAAGATATAGACATAATATGTACAAATAATCAAATATGAGAAATCTTAGATACTTGAAAGTCATAATTGAGATGGAGAGTCTTGGGAAACTCGGGTCTGTTTTGAAATCAAACACCGAGTTTGTTGAAAATTAATTGGCCGATTGCATATATCCAAAAAGATTCTCAGACAAATTAACATGAATAAATGCAAATTGTTAGTAGTCACATGTTTCGTCGAAATATGGATATTAGAAAAGATCCATTATTGAAAAGTATTGAGAGAAAGAATTCTCTATGTATGTGCAATATGCACATGATTATACTTTGACAAACAAACTCGACCAAATATTACATTCTCATAAACGTGTTAGCTAAAAATAGCTCAAGGTCAACATAGCGTACATTGTCATTGAAATGATATCAAGAATGTACTTTGATATCTACATGAAAGCATTGGTGTAAGCTTTGTTTATCCCTTATAAATTGAATTAAATGATTGATAATAATATTATTCATTAAGGAATGGGAAATGTCAAAACGACTCAAAAGTATCACTTTAACACAAAGTAACATGCTTAAAGTTTTACCAATGATGGATATCCTCTAATATCATTTATATTTTCTTAAACGAGTGTATGTTTATCATGAAAGAAACCATAGCTTTACCTATGAAATACCTTGATAAAAATAAATATCAAGTCAATGTTGAATTCTTATTGATGTGTTGCACTTAGGAGGTGTCTTGGCATACTTATATATCACCAGTTATATGATCCTAAAACTAATGATATAAATATAGGTGGGGCAGTCATGGACCCGGTTCGGGCCGCCCGGCCCGCGACTGTGCGGGCCCGGAACCGGTCCGGGTCCGGGTCGGGCCTAGGCCCGGTGGGGTGGCGGGTCCAGGCTCGGGCCTTGTATTTGGCGAACCGGCCCGGCCGGGTCGGGCCCGGGTCCGGGCTGAATTGACTTTTTTTTTCCTTCATTTTTTTGAGTTCCACCCAGGTTGGACTTGATGGTTAGGAGGGGTTTGGGGGGTTTGGGGGGGTGGGTGGTGAGGGGGGGGGGGTAGGAAAGCAAAAAAATATATATAACCAAACCGGAGGCCCGGACCGGCCCGGACCCGGTGGCTACCCGGGCCGGTCCCGGGCCTTCCTTCCCAAAAAAAAAAGCCCGGCCCGGGTCCATTACCAGGTGGGGGTTAAAAAAATCATCAATTATACTATATCATCAACTAATGATATAAATTGATGCATTAGTACTATATTGATAGCCTAAAAATCTCTTCCTATTGTATAATTCTATTCCAAACTCCAAAGTGGCCTGGCCACGGGTTGTAAGATGTGGCGACAATCTTGTTGATGGTAGTTAAATCATAGGGGCCACCATGTGAGCACCAATCACTTCTGCACGTGACAAGTTTCCCACAAGCAGGACGGATCTACACCATTAGCTGCCGGGTTATCCGATTCAAATGTTACTCCATAAAAAGAATCTTAGAGACTGGTTCAAATTCAAGTTCCTTAATGGTGAGTTGCTAACAGTAATGGGAATTAGCAGGAACCATTAATGGATATATGATTCTTTGTGCAGAACTAGTCAAACTAAAACGAATAATCAAATTCTCTCATTTTCTAAAATTATGTTAAAGTTTACCTCTATCCCCACAAGTTAGTAATGGTTTCCATTAGCAATGTGTCTTTTTCCCATATTTACATTTGCATAGTCTATATACACTGATTCTCTCCCGAAGTATTTACTATAACTGCAGCAAAAAGTATCATCTGAGATAAATGCGTGGAAAGGGGAAAGAAACTCAATTGGACTTCATCTCGATATCTGTGTTCTCATTTGATTCAGGCTCGTCTTTGGGCAGGAGACCAAGCAATGGTAAAGGTAACAATGAGCTGAGATTGCAAAGAATGATCAGAGCTGCCAGGTTGTCAAACTTGTCCCTGGTCACCCCGAAGATCTGGGTTAGGCCGGCGCCAATGAGACCCCCGAGGACACTTCCCCCATTACATATTGACATTAGTGTTGCGAACAGAGTTGCTTCCATTCCTTGTGGACATATTCTTGCAGCTAGTACAAGAACCGGCATGAAAGAAGCCTGAAAGCAAGAACCAGTCGTTACGAACCACAGAACCATTGTGTTCTAGGCGGACACATTAAGCAGGGTCAGTTTGGCTTACAAACATAGGTGACAAATAAAAACCAAACACATGTGGTTGCAGCTACAAATGGATGGCTACACCACATCGGTCATCTAGTATATAAGTGCAAATTATGTTCAACATCTTATATGTCCTATTTTGGAATACGAGGCTTGACTCGAGTTAAAGTTAAATCTTCCTTGTGGAGCAATAATAGTTAGAATTACTTTTTTTTGAAGTTATAGTTAGAATTACTTAAAGTATTATTGAAACACAAAAACTAGATTCTTGCAATGGCAGTAATTTGATATACAAAATCAGGGAAGAAATGTGAATTAGGTTGGCGAACATGATAAACAAAATGGCAGGGGGGTATGATAAGTAGTACTAGTATGTGATATCAAAGCCTGATGGGATGGATGAGGCGTTGTAATGAGTATAAATGTGAATTAAACCTCTCCTCAATATGATATTATGAGATGTGTTAGACCAAATTTAATATTTCTTGAAAATACACAGTATAGCACACGAATAGCACACGAGAAGAAAATATTTTAAAATGTAAATGTAATCACCTGGCCAAGGACTGTAATAATCAATGAATCCCCTATTGCAAACCACTCATCGCTAATGCCAAACTGTCGGTTCAATCCAGTTACGAGGAGTACCTATGTGGCACAAAATTGACACAACATCCTTTCAACTTGATATATCGATCTGACAACCCAACAAAAGAAGGGGGAAATGAAGAATACAGCGTGTACAAACAAAAAAGAATAATTATTATCACAGACCTGTGTCATCCCAAGGGTTGTCCCAATAATAGTTGTTGCAAGAAATATCTTTCTTAAGGGGACATTCTTTAAGAAACCGTTATACAGCCCAACACCAACAAGTGATGCAATTGAAGTGACAAGTTTGACACGTCCCAGGAACTCTGGAGTGAAACCAAGTTTATTTGTCCTACAAGAATCACAAAAAACACCTTTTAAGGTTTTGGAAACATAACCACAGAAATGACTTGGAAACATTTACAAGGAAGCACATACGTGAAATAAAACATTGCAGAATCAGACTGTGGAGTTGCCTGCCAAAGGAATATAAAGATTGTCGGCAGAAAAACATTGGGATCTTTAACAGCTTCCCATAACTGAATAATGTTATTCTTTGAGCTCTTAAAGAAACTATCGTCTAGAGAAATATTCTGACCCTTCAGTGGGCCACGTACAGGATGCTCATTTACTAGGACAGATACTGCAGAAGTAATCAGCGGTAACAAAGCTGTCAAGCCAAAAACAAACCTGCAAGTATAGTAATGCAGGGAAATTCATAATGGGAATATATAGTCAGATGGCTTCACTCAACAAACAGGGCATAGCAATATAGCATACCGCACACCATAGGCATCCACCAGGGAACCACTAAAGTAGGCACTGACAATTCCACCAAAGGCTGAAGAACCCCAACATAATGACTGGAGAGATCCAGACATACTTTGCGACTCGCCTCGTGCCCTCTCAACAACCATTGAGTCTACGACCTACACCAAGACTCAAATTGATATCACATCTGAAAATAACATAAAAAAAGAATACAACATTAAAAAAAGATATATGCATGTCAATTAAATCACGCCAGCGAGATGGCCTCAATGAATTTGAGCACATTTGCTTTGTTCATTACTTTCTGCATCAACACTATGATGTACCATGAAAAGGTTGTTGCAAATACTCTATTAGGCATATGCATACTCTCAGAGTATCTCAGATTGGTTTCTACTGGGTTTGAATCTAGTACTAAGCTTTTTAATCGGCACGTAGTTCGGTATTCTATCCTATAACCGTGTCAACTACTTTATCTACTCAATTCGTATAAAAAAACGAGTTAACCACCTCATTGGTTTTCATGACCGGTGAGTGTGTTTACTTGGCACAAATCTTAAGGAATATAATAAGATTTAGGCTATGGTGGGATTAAAAATATCTTAAGAGCTTCAATTTAGTAAAACACTTTTTAAAGGTTTTTGAGAATTTCTTAAACTACATATTTTAACCCAAAAATAAAAACATTAAAAAAGCTAGATTTAAATGTGAGAAGCTTCAAAGAAGAGAGATTGTGTATGTAAGACGGGAAGGGAGGAATAAAGAGGTAGGTTGTTAGTCAGTTAGAAATAGACTGGGAGAGCAGGGCCTCTCCAAGAGTCCTATCTGTTCTTACTTTGTTGATTTACAGTTGTAATCCACCATTAATGAACTCTGAAGCTTTGCATACTTCTGGATAGATTTTACAGTTTCTTTACTATTCTGTGAGTTACTTATCTTTGGTATCAGAGCACCAATTCTGGTGAGAAAAAAAAATTGGAGATTCGAATTGAAAAATTGGAGAGAGAAATGCGAGAAAATGTTAACAATGTGCGGACCATTATCGATCAGCTGAATTGCAGGAGAGCGAGGAGCCCTAGACGCCGTCGGCTATCTGAAAACATGGCTCGTCGTGGTCGTCAACTGCGTCTCCCAGTTCGAGCAACTCCTCCTAGTTCTCTGGCTTCGTCGCGAACTGTTTCTCCTCCCAGTTCGCAGGCTTCATTATCGGCTACCAGTTCACGTAGGACGTGATCAAGATGTGAAGTTCCCAGTTCGCACTCGCGAACTGCTTCACTCAGTTTGCAGTGGTCGGCAACAGCTGGTCTCAGTTCGCAGGTATCCTCATCTGCTATGAACTCGCTTCGGAGTGCGACGCAATCGAGAACAGAATTGCACTGTTCGCAGGTGTCGTCACCAGCCGTTTCTCCAAGACCGCAGGCTTCCTCACTCGCGGACTCTCACAACTCATCTTCGCTAGTCATCTCTCACCAGGCACAACTTTCATTGCTGAGAACTCCACCGCCAACTCTGAACACTGAGTTGAAGCCTACGCCGTCTGCACCTTCAGTTCAAGAATTGGAGACGAATGATGATATTCGGGAAGGGGCAGAAAACGTTGATTCACCAGATAATCTAGAAGAGTCCGAAGCGTGCAAATCAGATAACCTTACCTATGAAGTTCAAAGGTATGCTAGTGCACTAGACCAATACCCAGAGCATTTTAAATCTGTGATGGGTAGAGTTCATGAACTGGAGTTGGGTGTCCTAATAGATCTTTGCACAATCATTCATCAAAGGGAATTTTGGGAGGGCTGAATCAGTTTGAGGGTTTCAAAATGGATGGTGTGAATTCTATGAAATATATTCGAATTGGGTTGGGAGTAGGAATTACTGGGAATGATAAGGGAAATGTTAGGGGAATGCCAGTAGTCTGTATACTTCTTCCAGATGGGGGTGCAGTTTGTGACTATCGGTTTCAGATGGCTATTGCTGGTAAATGGATCAAGGCTACAGATGACAAGATACATGACACATCGGGTGTAGTCTCTGTTGGACATTCAATTCGAACAAACATCATCATCATCGTTACCCCAGTGTCACAAAGGGAGTCTTGCCCCTGTTTAGCACAGAGAGAGAGACTGTTTCCGAACAAACATAATGGATATAAATGAACACAAGATGGTCATGCTTCTATGCTTGGACTCCTCATATTTTGGACTGAAATGGGCTGATAATTTTGCTCTTGGTAGCAGTGTTGAGGAAAAAGTTGATAAAATAAAAGAGATTGGTGCTGTTGACAATTGTAAGAATCGTGGTGATGTTATTGGCTTTAATTCAGAATACTAGTGGGGTGGAACCAATGTGAATCTGGATTTTACTATTCAGGCTGCTGTAATTGATGTCCCCAAGATAGAGAGTACCACGAGGAATTGTCTTTACAACCAGAAATTGTTCGAAAGCAAGTAGTTGCTGTTTTCTGTGTTGCAGCAGGCTGCATCTTACCCTCCACAGAATCTGAAAGAATCAAGTTCCTGGAAAAGATGTTGGAAGAAAAGCCAAGATTACAACAAAAGATGCTGGTGTTGGGATATTATAACCTTTACAACATTGAGGAGCATATTACCACCATGTCCTTGCTTCTGTTACTTTCTGCTGTGAAGTACATAGGGAAAAAGATTCAGGTACCGAAGCTTAAGGCCCAGCAATCAGTCAAGTATTGGGAAGGAAGAGGCGCAAGGATGAAGCAGGACCTCTCGAAGAGTCCTATCTGACTATCTGTTCTTACTTTCTTGATGTTCAGTTGTAATCCACCATTAATGAAGTCTGAAGCTTTGAATACTTCTGGATAAATTTTACAGTTTCTTTCCTATTCTGTGATTTGACAGGCAATTCTTTAGATGATTTATGAATAATGTGAGTTATTGATGATTACTCTTTTTCTCTATGCATACATACATATATAGGATTATAGGACTTAAACTCAAAATATGTGATATAAATATAAATATAAATGTGTGTGTGTATTTATATACACAGTAATAAAAGGCTACATGAGCACTGAGTACTACCGAGTAATTTTTCCAAATTGCTACTTACCTTGCGATTAAGTAGAAGAACGATTTAACTCAATTTAAGATTGAAATATGATGGAATAAAGCAAAATGACTCACTAAACTGTTTGCGCTTCTTTCTTATGAAGTAACAGTCAGTCTATGCAATTTTCGACGCGATTTTCACTATGGGTCATTCGGAAACAGTCTCTTTGTGCTTTAGTGCATGGGTAAGACTGCGTACATCCGACCCCCCCTTACCCCACCGTAGGTGGGAGCCTTTGCGGCACTGGGGTAATGATGATGATGATGATGAATAGATGCTAATTTAATAGTGGTTTGCAAAGTGTCCACCTAATCCGTGGTTGGTTTAGGGCATCCCTTATGGAAGTGAGGACTCATTTGCCCACCCCTAGCTTTTTTGAATAAACTTGGTGTGAGGGGGTATGTAGAGCATTCGCCATTGACCTTTGAAGATCTATTTGGGGTGAGATAGGACTAACTCAATCCACACATGACAATTTTGCAGCCATGAGAATGATGGCCAAGTAATAGCCTACTGGTTGAATAAAAATAATATGTTCACCTAAAACTACTATGGGTAACATGCTAGGTATAGGTAGTTGCTTTAAAAAAAAAAGGTAGTTGTGGTGGCATCTAGATTGAATTCATATGGTTGAATAAGTGAGTAGGTGACAAAAGGAACTTACAACGTCAGAGAAAGCAACTGAAAGAGATCCAAGAAGAATGCAAAAAGCAGCACTATACTTGCTGTCAACAAAGGTTGACATCAAACTCCAGGAGAGTGTTCCAAGAAGCCCTGATAGAACCAGATATGATCTTCTCCGGTATCCAAAAAGAGGGAAATAATCGCTACAAGGAAAAAAGTTTACTTGAGAACTTGCTAACTTTTAAAGCAATTTTTAAGGGAAGAAGCATCAAGTTTAACTAAATCACCTGATAAATCCATACAATGGTTTTACAAGCCACGGTAATGATGCAAATCCTGATATAACTGCTGTCTAGTCAGCAATATAAGATTTTGTCAGTCCTTTTATTAAGATCAGATATTCATCTATTGACTAGATTAACAAAGTTTATAACTTTATTTCTCATTTTGACTAGACACACAATTTTAGGAAGCCCATTCAAGTATTAAACACATTTTTACACATTACTACTAATGCTACATAGCACCCCCTATTACACTTTATTCTAGCAATCTTGTTTAATTCTAAATTCTGAAAGCATTTATGATATAGTGTCCAGTCCATCAGAATTTATTAATGGCCGGCTTTTCATGGGGGTTACTATCAATAAGTTTCCAGTTTCAATAAATAGTCCTCCAATTCTTTTCACCATATACCTCCATGTTACTTAACACTCCGACCTGGGGCATTTCAAGTTTGTTTTGGTTAGAAAGTATAACCAAGGTAATGTGTTTTATGGCATGTTAGATAACCTTGTTGGAATTCATTTTTAGATAGTTTATAAAGAATTTAACTCTGCATAATTTAAGATATATTAGTCTAACAATATTGTAAACTTAGTAACAAATTCAGCTTTAAAAAATCATGATGATAATGGGGTTTGTGAATATCCAGAATTCCAGACATCATACCTCTGCAGGGTCTAGATGCAGGTCATCTTTCAAGTAAAAGCTGACAGCAAGTCTTGAAAGTCCTAAGACACCCTGAACAAAATATACCATAGCCACTGCAATGTTATCAGGTGTAAGGTCAACTCCGAAGCAGCGGATGGAGCTCGTAGAGTACTTGTTTTTGTGGCCTTTACTTGATGCACTTGTAGCTTGCTCCAAATCTGTTGTCAGCCTATCCCCCTCCCCTACACCTTTATTACAGGAAAAAGCATACATCCAATCAAAAATGCAATCAGATCGTTCGATTAGCTAGGATCTAAAAATGACAAAACCAAAAACGCATGCTCAACATTTTAAAGAATGCTAGCTAGTTTTTTCTTTCTTTCTGTGTGACTGTGTGACAGCCTGCTGCTGGAGCTGTAATCATTCAGACACATAAACAAAACAAAAAACATATCCAAGGCATAGGTCCATATCTATCCTTCACAATTATATACATCTTTAAGATTTATATATGAAAAAATATTCCGAAGAAATCATTGAACAAAACATGGGGAGAAACTACTTCACGTTTAATAAAATTCTAAAATAAGTTAGTGGTTAACCTGATGACATATCTATATCAATTAAAATTAAAGTCTACATATTTTTACATTCAAATTATAAGTCTTTAACAACCAATTTACTTCACAAGAAAATTGATTCGGAAACAACATCCATTTATTCTAAAATAAACTTAGCTAAGCTCCACTTATTGATTCGTAAGTTGTACTTTTCATATCGATTGATAGTTCGTTGAGCTAGCAAACATTGGTTCCAGCTTTACTATCTAGTGATGGATCAGGTTGGGAATTAATACTGTCCACAAACACAAATTATCGGAAAAGTAACTCATATCTTATAAAGACACAGCTTTTATGGAGATTAATGCTTTAAATTTATATATGCACTGAACATACTTACCATTTCGAGAACCTAGCAACGGTTCAGAATCGATCTCTCGCCGGATAGAACCCGCCATAGGAACCGAAACAGACATGTCTGAAAATGGTGGCTTCCGGCGAGTGGGACGGCGAGGCCCGGCGATTACGGCAGGCCGCTTCCAACGAATCCGGGTTATAGATGGAGGATCGTAAAGCACTGATAAAGTTGTAAAGCCCGAAGGTAAGATTGGGCATGAAATGGGCATTAATTTCGCCATTTATTTTATGTATTATTCTATTTCTGTAATCTGTTAACTTTCGTACCGTGTTTAGTACGGAGTATGTTTCATTGTTTTAAAAAAGAGTGTTAACTGAAAGCAGTGAGGAACCGACATTGTCCATCTTATTTGGGTAGAAATGCTCAATTTCCCAACATATACGGAGTATATAACTTCCATTTCATTCGGGCAAAAATCATTTGAAAGAATGGTAAAACTTTTAAGGATAACAATAGGATCAAATTTCAATTAAAAAGTCTATTATATACAGTCAAGAATTAGTAGAAAATTTTAAAAGGTTATAGATTGAAAAGTTTAAGTGACACAATTTAGAATTTTAACTTATTTTAGTACGGATCCGGTTTCTCTGCCTGGATTTGGCCGCCAGGTAGGGTGCCTGGCTAATTATGGCCTTCCGATGCAATATTTAACGATCTCAATGTGCTGCTCCTCTCTTCTTTGCCGTCCGATTTAAGCCAAGGACCCTGTCGTGCGACAGAGGATCCTAATCCATTTTAGTACATTAAGAGCCCGTTTGGCAACCCAGATTTTTGGCTTATCAGACTTATCAGCTAGTTTTTTCAACAAACACGCAATGTTTGCTTTCGCGCGCTGAATTGTGTAATAAGTAGAAAAAGTAAGGTTGAAGTTACTTTTCTGGTTGTATTGGCTGAAGTTACTGTAGATGACTATTTTAGCTATTTTTACATATAAGTTTTTCTTTATTTTATTAATAAAATATATTTATAAAATAATTTTTTCTTAAATCAGCAAAATCAGCCAATGCAGCCACTTCAGCCAGAACTTCATAAATTTCAGCAGAATCAGCCAAAACAGTCGATTTTCGTGCTACCAAACAGGCTCTAATTCTCTACAATAGTTTCTTCTCCTTACTAAAAAAAATTCGTGGATCTTTTCTTTTGTCTTGACGAGTACGCTTATACTCGGTTCCGGAATCATATCGGAATTGACTTATTATTTATCCAAGATCACGAATTGACTTGGTGTCATTCTTGTATGTTATCAATTTGGTTCTAAAAATTAGGACATATTTGAAGAATTCATAATTCAATATCAATTTGGTTCTAAAAATTATTGGGAAAAGAGGCAAATAAGCCCTCGAACTAATAAAAAAGTACAAATAAGCCCTTTTGTAGGAGGTTCTGTCCAATCATCGTCATTTGGGGAGGTTCTCGGTGGAATTTTTTGATGAATTTTTTTGAGCATTTTCTTCATTAAGTCTAGTTTAGCCATACCGAATTTCAGCTAAAAATTCAACCGGGAAAGCACTCAAATGATTTTCGGAAATATACTGCGTGGTTTAACTGCACAGTTATCTTCAAAAATTCATTTGACTGTCTTCCCGGTTGAATTTTTAGCTGAAATTTAGTAGGACTAAACTAGACTTAATGAATAAGATGCTCAAAAAATTACATCAAAAAATTCCACCGTGAACCTCCCCAAATGACGATGACTGGATGGAACCTCCTACAAAAGGGCTTATTTGCATTTTTTTGATTAGTTCGAGGGCTTATTTGCCCCTTTTCCCAAAATTATTTGAAGAATCGATATAAGAATCGATAGTGCATATTGGTGTGATTCTTGTATGTTATCAATTAAGCGTTAGAAAATATAAATATATTTAACCATCACTGGGTTTCATCATTAAACTGTAACACATGAAAATATAATATCAAACTAATAAATATATCATCATAAATAAGTTAGGAAATTTGAACGAAAGCTAGAAATGAAAAGAAAAAACATATTTCACTTATGCTCACACCATGTGTAGCAATGTGTGTATATGATAGTTGTGTAATGATTATTGTTCTTGCTCCTTGCTTTGAGTTTCCTAATTAATAAAAATAAATTTTGATGCTTAGACCTGATTTATTCTTGCAAAAATCTGCATTATCAGATGAATTACATATGTTTTATTTATTTCTTAATTATTTCTTATCAGTTTATATAATCATGTAGTTCACCTCTTATGATATTTAGACTTCGGAGTTACTAAGCACGGTTCTTGTTAAAACGTGTGATTTTCATAGAATTGATAAATACCATACTAAATAGATGAGTGAAATAAATAGTCACAAATCCATTACTTTAAAAAGAAACTAGACGAAGTACCCGTGCGATGCACGGGGTATATATATATAGAGTGGAGTAATAACCTAAATGTCTACAATAATAATTATCTTAAATTACTTGAAAAAACTAAATGTGATAATTATTGTAGCATAGAGGGAATCTTTTTTCAGACGGACTAATTATAGAAATGATATGAGTATTGGAAAGTATACATTTGAATTAGTGAATTATTACATACATATTTGGTACGTAGTAGCTATTTTCATAGAAAGCACAAATTCACATATAAATTCACTAATGATTGAAAATATATTTTCAAATTAAATTGACTATATGAGCTGATGTAAGTAGAAAATGTCCTAAATACTTTGTAATTGCTATTGAGGAAATAAGTTGTAATTATCAGTACCTCGTCCCATTTTGTAAGATACACATTCATTTTAAGGTTGTCCAAAAGGCATGAACATTTTTTCAAATTAAACTTCATTAACTTTTTACTTTTCCGCTTTATCACTTTATATATTCATCACTTACGCTTTATGTTTTGTGGATCACTTTTGCTTTTACTTATCGTTGCATTGGAGGTTAGAATTGTAACACAACCACTCTATCTTTTATTTTCTTAAAACCCGCATCAAATCCTCACAAACTATTTTACTTCATTTATTATTTCTTGAAATAAACAATTGATTTATTAGAAAATGCATGAGTAATTGCCTTTTTAATTTATAAATTACGATGTATTAATGCGATATTTTAATATCAGAATAAATATAAGTAATTGCTATTGTGGGATGAGAAATTTATATTTTAGTTTTGCCATTAGTAATTATTATTATTATTATTATTATTATTACTATCATTATTACTATTACTATTACTATTACTATTACTATTACTATTACTATTACTATTACTATTACTATTACTATTACTATTACTATTCTATTACTATTACTATTACTATTACTATTACTATTACTATTACTATTACTATTACTATTACTATTACTATTACTATTACTATTACTATTACTATTACTATTATTATTATTATTAATGGGATATCAACGTAAGTACACTTATATGACACGTAGATGAATTATGCGATAACATTCTATAAAATCATATTCTAATAATACATAGCCAAATAAAGAGAAATAGAATTTTGTATAACTATGTTTAAATATGATCGTTAAATATTAGAGTAATGCTCCACCGTACCATGTTAATGAATTTATTAGCCAAACTCACGTGGATCAAATACTTTATTTTCAGCGAATTTATTTTCAATTTAATGAGCATTAGTATTACAAATTTAATGACGATGACTGGATGGAACCTCCTACAAAAGGGCTTATTTGCATTTTTTTGATTAGTTCGAGGGCTTATTTGCCTCTTTTCCCAAAATTATTTGAAGAATCGATATAAGAATCGATAGTGCATATTGGTGTGATTCTTGTATGTTATCAATTAAGCGTTAGAAAATATAAATATATTTAACCATCACTGGGTTTCATCATTAAACTGTAATTAACACATGAAAATATAATATCAAACTAATAAATATATCATCATAAATAAGTTAGGAAATTTGAACGAAAGCTAGAAATGAAAAGAAAAAACATATTTCACTTATGCTCACACCATGTGTAGCAATGTGTGTATATGATAGTTGTGTAATGATTATTGTTCTTGCTCCTTGCTTTGAGTTTCCTAATTAATAAAAATAAATTTTGATGCTTAGACCTGATTTATTCTTGCAAAAATCTGCATTATCAGATGAATTACATATGTTTTATTTATTTCTTAATTATTTCTTATCAGTTTATATAATCATGTAGTTCACCTCTTATGATATTTAGACTTCGGAGTTACTAAGCACGGTTCTTGTTAAAACGTGTGATTTTCATAGAATTGATAAATACCATATTAAATAGATGAGTGAAATAAATAGTCACAAATCCATTACTTTAAAAAGAAATGACGAAACGTTTTTAGACAAATGGAAAAGAAAGTTGATAAAAAGCCTAATGGAATCAGAAAATATCACTTGAGCAGAATTTTACAACTAATACCTGCCTGCCTGCTTGCCTCTGCAGAAAAAAAAAGATTAAACATTATCTAAGAATCGTGATAGGCCATCTCCTTGATTAACATATGATTGGATATGAGGATTAGTCAAGTGAGACGGCCAGAAGAATCCAACACCCCAATTGCGCGCCAGCAAAAATGAAAAGCAAATTAACGTTTTTTTGGAATGAAACGCCTGTTCAAAACTTATCCTTGTTTGTCATTCCTTCCATTTAGTTTTATTCGATGAGACCCTTCTCTCAAGTGCAAGTTATGGCATATACTCCTGAATTTTGAGGAATGAGGACACACTTTTTTTTGGGTATAAACTTGATCTTCTGAGCTATGACCAATAGATGCTCCAAAGTTCCTGTCATTTCTGTCTTAATATCACATGACATCTCACTACTTATGGGGTATCTTGCATGAATGAAAGAGAACCATAAAGTCACAAATCCCCACCAAACGGGCTCATAATGGTAGTTAGACTCCATGTATTCTTTACAGGCTCATATAGAAGGTGAGATTTTCACATTATCTAGTTTAATTATATGCAGAGGCAAAAAGAGAACTGGCCGTCAGGCTCAACTGCTCAAGGTTCCAAATAACCACAATTCAGAATCCAAGGAGCTGAAAACTATATCATTTATACCGCTGATCCTTCTCCATATTGAGCAATCAGTAACTTTAGAAGTTATTATTTATGAGGTATCTTGCATGAATGAAAGAGGACCATAAAAAATTACACAATTTCCACTTCCATCACAACTTTAAGGTAAAATCTTTTTCAATATCTATAAGAGATCTAATCCCCAGAACAACCTCTTCCGTTGATCGACGGAACAAGATGAGTTTGCTGAAATTAATGAAACGGTGTCGAAGACTGAACTAGTTAAATCTGCTGAATAATGAAACTATTGTACTTAAAATATATTTTATTAATAAAATATTTAACAAATTATATAAAAAGTAGTTAAAATATTGCACAACATCAATTTCGACCAATTCAATCCAAAAAGTAACAAAAGATTATGTCACCACCATCACCATCACCATCATTACCCCAGTGCCGTAAAGGTTCCCACCTACGGTGGAGTAAGGGGAGTCGGATGTACGCAGTCTTACCTTTGTACTAATGTACAAAGACACTATTTCAGGATGACTCATGGTGAAAATCACGTCGAAAATTGCATAGACTGACTGCTACTTCATAACAAAAAAGCGTGGACAGTTTAGTTAGTCATTTTGTTTTATTTCATCATATTGTCAAGCCAAAAAAATAGCGAGTCCTTGATTCCATTGCAAATGATGAAAAATAACAAAAAGATTATGTGTTTCATAAAAAAAATTAGGTGAGCTAAATGAAAGTAGAGGTTATAAGAAAGGCTCTTGATAACCAAATATGTTGACCAATATATGGACTTATATAAATGAGTAATGCTCCATATATATCCAATCTAAAATGGATGGCGATAAGGAATAAAATATTAAAATCTCAGCAAAAAAACATGGGATAAAGACATAAATAGGACCAAAACATGGCAATGGAACTTAAATAAGACCTCAAGTTTTTTAACTCGTGTAGAGGAGTAATTTTTGCGCTACGGACAAAAATACCCTCATATCATTAGCTAGCAGAATTGCCTCTACCGGCCTACCGGTCAAGCTATCTGCGCCTGTGGTCCTGTGATTGAGGCAATGGTTTCTCGCTTCTCCTCTCGGCCAAGTTTACTGACGCAGCAGGCATGAATTTTGGCGGAGTTTCCCGTCACAAGAGATTTCTGCGGAGCGACTGAAGGGTTTCCTCTCACTTCTTCGCCGGCCTTCGGATAGATAAGATTTCCAGGTCGAACTTGATTTCCGGTCCGGATTTGGCCAGTCCTGCCTATTGCGTTCCCTGTACGCTTGGAAATCGGTGAATTTTTTATGAAGAGGATGGAGGTGATTGGGGATGGTGAAAGAATTTTTCATGAACGGCCTCATTGGATGATATTATTAAAACTTAATGGTAAAATAGACCCTTTAATACTTGTCAATACCTCTCTTCATGTGAAGTGAGATCATCCAAATAAACACTTCTTTCAGTTCTTTGATTAATTACGAAACTCAAATCACTTTTTGTTTCGTATTTCATATTTTGTGTGTGTTTTTCGGCAAGTGTGTTTCAGTGATGAATTGGGGTGTTACTGTGTGATGTGTAATCGGCAACTGATTTGTTATGTGTATTTGCAAGTTGTGAAAATATTATTGGATCGGTGGCATGGGTAAATTTAGAAGGGCCACACACATCCTATCAGATCTCAACACAAACTCGGAAGAAATGCATTTTTGTTCTGAAGTTATATATGAGGAACCATTCTAATTTCTAAGTGCTATTTTGAGTTGAATTTGTGATTTAAATTTTAAAATGTGGAACCAAAATGAATTCACGTTGACCCGACATATTTTGACACAATGACAATGCTAATGACAATGTCATAAAAATGTATAAAAATGTCATCGGGTTAAGAAAATGTCACAATGACAATGTCATCGTCGATGCCGCTATAAAATAACATTGTAATTATGACAATGTCAATAGCTATTATGCCAATGTTAATTTTATAAAAAAAAGTCAAAAGAATGTCATATAAATGTATAAAAATGTCACCGGGTTAAGAAAATGTCACAATGGCAATGTCAATGTCGATCCTATAAAATGACATTGTAATTGTAACAATGTCAATATCTATTATGACAATGTTAATTTAATAAAAAAAAGTCACAATGTCGAAAAGATGTTGTAATATCAATTAATCACGATGACAATGTCAATGACAATGTCTTAAAAATGTCAATGATAATGTCATAAGAATATCAATGACAATGTCATAAGAATGTCAATTATTATGAAAATGACATTGTTAAAACTAATGACATTTTTATTTTCAGCATGTGCAATCAATATAAAAATTAAACAAAACATAGCACTTTCTTCTGTCAAAAACAAAACAAAACATAGCACTCAACGTATGTAACAAAAAACACTTGCGGAGTTACGGTACAAATTGAAATAGGAAATAGAACAAGACAATAAGATTGAAACCAACTTTACGAAGGAATTGAAAAAGCAAAACGGTAAAGAGGCGGAAGAAATCGGATCTGAAGAAAGAGATAAATAAGCAGCGGCCAGCAAGCAGCGAGTCAGGAACAGAAGGAAAGAAGAAAAGAGGAGGGGCGGAAAAGAAAAGAGAAGAAAAGGAAGACAGATCTGATCGGCAACACCTTCGCCGGCGGTACAGTTCGCTGCCCATATTCTCTTTCATCGTCGACTCACCTTCTCTTCAAAGATTTGATCTCTATTCTTCGACATTTGTTTTTCACAAAGAATTGGGACGGGAAGGGTCTGAAAGGCGTCGGTCTAGAAAGAAACGAACATAAGGGGGTAAATTTGGAACACATGAAAAAATTAGTCCTATTTAAGAGTAAAAAAAGTCAAGGTCTTATTTAAGTATATACTTAAAGTTGTGGTCCTATTTGACACCATTTCTCAAAAAACATTGTTTGGGGACCAAGTCAACAACGAATTGACTATATAGACGCAGTCAACCCGAGTGAAATTCCAGGCCTTCCTTCCCACTTCCCAGTTCCCACCATAAAATGAAACCGTTTCTTCTTTTCCTTCTCTGCAATTTCTATATTCCTTCTCCTTCAAACACTCCATAGCGATGTCGCTTTGCGATCCCGTAGAAGATCAAACTCCCAAATTAACCTCCGCCGGCGAAGGGCCGGAAAAAGACGGCGGCGATAACGGCCCGACCTTGAGGCCCATGGATCTCTCGGACGCGGAAGAGTACTACCTGGAATGCTTATCAGACGAAAAGGTAAGCAAATTCTGCTCCTGGGACACTTTCAGATCCAAGGAATCCGTCGAACGGTACATCTGCAGCAACATATTAACGCACCGGTGGTTCCGAGCGATCTGCGTCGACGGGAAGGTTGCCGGTTCAATCTCGGTGTCGCAATTTACAGGGGACGAAAGGTGCAGGGCCGAGATCGGGTATGTGCTGGGTTCCAAGTATTGGGGGAAGGGAATCGGAACGAAGGCGGTGAAGATGGCGGCGGCGTCGGTGTTCGTGGAGTGGCCGGAGCTGGAAAGGCTGGAGGCGCTTGTTGACGTCGACAATTTTGGATCGCAGAGGGTTTTGGAGAAGGTTGGGTTCAAAAGGGAAGGAGTTTTGAGGAGGTATTATCTTCTCAAAGGGAAGCCGAGAGATGCGGTCGTGTTCAGCCTTATTTCTACTGATCCTGACGTTACCTTTTGTATGTAAAGCTTTCAAAATTTTCATGAAGTTGTGATTCAGGAAGCCATAGTCATATGGGCATATGATAATTCCATAAACAGGATTACAATAATAATAAAATTCATCAGGATTATTATAGTTTTATGCTTAAAATATGACCTTTTCCCTCTTATTTTGACTTTTAATTAATTTAGTCTTTTAATAAGACTAAATAATTAGTATCTTTGAAAAGTAAAACATACTCCCTCCGTTTCACAAAGAAAGTCACAATCTGACTTCTCTAGGATTAAGGAAATAAATTGACTTTACTTTAGAAAACACTGTTTGGCACTATTTAGAAACTATTTGGCACTGTTTAGACATTGTTTGGCACTGTTTGGCATTGTTTTGAAGTATTTCTTTACCAAAAATTGTGTAACATTGACACTTTACAAGACACTTTAACAAATTGACACTTTACACGTTATTGATAAAATTGACACTTTCTATTATATATAACTAAACATACAAGTTATTATTATTATTATTAGAGAATATTACCCGAAATAGGACTAAAAAGTTTTAAAATTCTAAAATAGGACTTCCATGTTTTTATTACCAAAATAGGACTAATTACTGTCATGGTTTGGCAGTACCAGACTTCAAACATAACAGTATTTTCCAAACTTGACAGTAATTATTCCTATTTTGGGAATAAAAACATGACACTCCTATTTTGGAATTTTCAAACTTTTTTAGTCCTATTTCGAGAACTTTTCCATATTATTAAGAAGAAACGTGATCTTTACAAGAGGGAGGACTTCAGGCCTTACCCGAAGAGCATAAATTAAATACATAAAAAAAAATACATTAAAGATTCCTCAATCTTTTTAAAGACTACACTATTTAGAATTCTTCAGGGCACCTACTAAAATAGCCCGCACGCTCTATGTCTTTTGAGAGCTACTTCAAATGTTTAGATAATCCACCACTGTGTCACTATTCATATTTTGCCGAAATAGGTTGGCTGCTTGGTTAGCCTGCTTGTCATCAAGACAAACAAGTGTGCTCAATATGCTTGCTTTGCTGTAGGGGTTTAGTAAATGCAAAGAGCTGATATCCACTTCTATATTTCTTTATGGGATATTACCCGAAACAGGACTAAAAATGTTTCAAAATTCCAAAATAGGATTGACATGTTTTAATTCCCAAAATAGGACTAATTACTGCCATGTTTTGACAGTATCAGACTTCAAACATGACAGTATTTTCCAAATTTGGCAGTAATTACTCCTATTTCGGAAATAAAAAACATGACAGTCCTATTTTGGAATTTTCAAACTGTTTTAGTCCTATTTCGTGAACTTTCCCTTTCTTTATCCCAACCTGTGAGCCAAGAAACTGAACTATAAGATCTTGTACCCCAACATATATGCAATATGGAAGACTTGCATTATATATATAACACTAATCACAACAAGGAATCCAGATACATCTTGATGGTCCCAGATAGAGGTAAAAGTCTAGAGGGGGGTGAATAGACTTTTAAAGTTTTTTCAAATTTTAAAGAATTTCCCTCATAGATATGATGATCAGTAATCTTTTGAGAGATTAAGGATTGCAGCGGAAGTCTTGACCTCTATATAGCAACCTTCTGTTAGTGAGTGGACAAGGAGAAGTCTGAGAGACAGAGGAGCTTTGGTGACATAGATGATTTGGACAGAAGGTCTCAATCAGAATACCTTGGTGTGGTGTTCTGAGGTCTTCTTGACAGAGCCCTTTCTGAGATTTTCTGTTGACCTTCGAACAGAATCCTTCTCAAGGTCTTCTGTTGAATTTGTAAGGTGATAATAGCCTAGAGGCTTCTGTTTGGAAGAGGAGTTCTTAGTGAAGGATGAAGAAGACTTCTAGAGAAAAGGGGATGTCTTTGGACGAAAGTATAAGCGAGCAGTAAGCTTAACAGAGAGGTGATTTAGTGTGTGCTTTGTTGACTGAAAATGAATCAACACACAATATATCCTGGTTCAGAGGTGGTGTAATCCTCCTACATCCAGTCCCACCCTCTTTCAGATGGATTTCCACTAAAGTATTAAGCCCAATACACTTAGTGCCCGTCTGGCTGTTATCATCCAACTAGCTCAGACCTGAAGGTGTTTCACAAGGAGTACACACCACTCCAAGTTACTCAGTCCTTAGATTTTCTCAATTGATCCAGTGGGGATCAAAAGGTACTCTGTTCTATTCTACCACACTTAGGACTAGATAACACTGTCCTTCTAAGTGTTTACAACATTCTCAAAAGTAATAAAATTTCTAGCCTCCAACTAATAACTAAACTTCCAGAGTATAGCTATGAGTGTTCTGTTTGGGAAGTTTAGTGAAGCATGAGTCTAAACAGAGAGCTGAGTTTAAATGAGCACTTTCTTTAATGTTGGGTTTCTCTTTGAATGCTTGGTATAATTTCTCTGTTTAGAAGACTCTTAAAAGCTTAAATATGAACTCATGCTTGTGCCTTTAATTATAGGCATCTCCGGTTGATTAATCTCCTCCGTTGGTTGAGAGGATTTAATCTTTGTCGTCGAAAGAGTTGTACTTTCGTCTTCTTGTGTTGGAGAAGATTATCTTCTTCAGATGCAATTGGATCAATTTGCAAGCAGGATATGTAAACTCATACCTTAGGCCTTGTATGCACTATTCACCTACTTGTAGGTTTTGGCTTCTCATGCAATATGCATGTGTAGTGTCTTGTGATTTTATAGATATAGTAGACTTAGTAAATTTGTGACTTTAGTCTTTCTGTATCAAATAATTTTGTACTGGTAGGATTTAAATATCCTTTTAAGGTAAAAGAAAATTACCTTATTGCGTTTTATATTTCCAGTACAATTTATTTGATACAAAAAGTGTACATGTAAAATTGGTCACAATTTTACTAGTGACAAGAATAATTCTATAACAAATAAAAACATACTAGTTGGATTTGAATATCCTTGTAAGGTAGAATTTTACCTTATTGCATTTTATACTTCCAGTATATTTAATTTGACATAAAATTGTACATTTTAAATCTTGTCACTTTACATTGTATTTTTAGTACCTGCTTCTTTTCAAATGATTCTTTTGTTTCTTTTCGTTAATGGTACGGTGAATACTCTATCCAATTTTGGAGCACACTACAATTTACACAATAAGCAGATAATTTTGAGCAAAAAGTCTAAACCAAAAAGAAGGGTGGCATCATTAAAACTATTTCTTACAACTGTAGCTTATATCAAAGTCTGGGGGACCTAACACATCTCATACCTGAAAGGCTGAAACTATAGTCACAACCGTTTAAGTAACAAGCCACTTCTTGGGAGGATGCAATTCTCAACGTGGCTCCGGACTGGATCAAACAAACTCTATGGGAGGATGCAAATGGCTTAGAGAATATTAGATATTAACTAGAGTGAGAAGTGCATATAAAAAAAACAAGCCACTTCAAATCCTTGTCAAGCACTCCTTTCTTTTAGCTACCTTTCTTGAAAGTGCATAAATAGAGTGAGAAGAGATACCATCTTCTAAATTGAAAAATAGTAACCGTAAGATAAATTAACTACGCAGTAGTTAATAAGGGTTTACCAAATTAAATGTTATAGCTCCCAGACAATAATAAGTTTGCTTCCATTGCAGCTTTTTGACCCAAAATATATAGTTTGGTACCTGATCAAAATGAACAAAAAATATTTAATTAGTTTCACATTATAATGATTGTTAGAGAAAAATAGATGATATGCATGATAATCATCAACCAAATGATATTGAATTTGTTTCTTGACACTCATTTGTAAGCTTGGGTAAGCTTGGGAAAGCATTCAAGATTGTTTGCATATACACAATGTTAAACCTCAATAACTGGGTCGGCTCAACAACTGATAAATCTAAGGGCTAAAGCACCTCAACAACTGGGTCGGTTCCAAACAAGGCTAAACCTCAATATTCAGGTTAATTTCAGGGCTAAGCCTCAACATTCAAAGCACCTCATGATTTCAGAATGCTGCTTTTAAGACATTTCTTCTGTAATAGTACTAACATTACTAACATACTCTGTATATTCTAACATAACATTACTAACATCAAACAAACTGCCCCACTTATTTTGCGGGCAATCGAAACTCCTAAAGAATAAGCATAATCATGAAAAAGATGATCTTAACTCCAGCACCTCAACTCCTCCAACTAATGTACCACATACTTTAACGTTTTCATTTGCCTTCAAATCACCAAGTATCGACATTTCTCACTTTCAGATTTGAAGGGCAAAGTAAAATTATAATGATATACTCAGGGGCGGAACCAGAATACTGGGTCGGACTGGGCCAGTACAAAGAATATTTTTGAAATTTTTTTACGCGGAATTTTTATACTAAAAATTTAGACATTTTTAAAATTTGGGCTGGGCCAGGGCCAGGGGTGGTCACCCCTAGCTACGCCCCTGGATATACTCCCTCCGTCTCCCAATTAAGTTCTCACTTTCCTTTTTGGGCAGTCCCTAAATTAAGTTCACACTTCAATACTTTCCTTATTTGGCAAATCATCTACATCAAAACAGTGTCAAACAGTGTCCAAACAGTGTTTGAACAGTGCAAAACAGTGCACTCCACAGAAAGTCAAATTTATTTTCTTAATATGTATGAAGTCAAACCGGGAACTTAATTGAGGGACAGAGGGAGTATCAAATAAGGAATACTGAAGTTATAACCTAGAACAGTAAAGGCTTTTAAAAATATCAACAAACCGAGAGTCATACCTCTACCCTTAGAATTTCAGAAATCAAGTCCATCCCGAGAAAATTAGTGCACATATGTAAAAAAGACAACCAGACCCAAATGCACCCGATGATGCGTTAAGGCGATGATGGCCGTTAAGAAAGCAGTAAGTACAAGGGCAGACCTTCATAGTAGAAGTAATACAGCCAGGATTAAGTTCCACCTTCATAGCAAAACTAAGAGCTTTTTTCACATGCTTCAAACTTATTATAGTCTTACTACTAGCTAAAGTATTCCCTGAAAGGCTTTTGGAAGTAGAAGAAGAAACATATAGAGGGCTTCTGGAACTTACAAGAGACTTCTCTTTTCATGCATCTGAACTGCTGGTAAATCTTTGAATAGTTTGTGTTATTCCTGAACACCTGGAAAAAAATGATGG